AATGAGAACTTGACCAATCTGAGACAACACCCTTGGTCTCCGGAAGATCCAATAATTCACAAGTAACTTACTGAACAAATTTCGAAAAGCACTTTCACTATGGCAATTTTCATTAAGTGCTGCCACGCATACATAACCCCAAAACATTTGACTGTTTAAACCTGATGACAGTATCTAAGGCTACTTCCTAAGTTATAACACTAAATGCAAAACATTGTTTCCTTATTTTAAAAATTATTAGGAACTTTTTGTCACAAGATGATAGATAATCAATAAATTTTAAATACCCATGAACATGTTTACCATGTTTAAAAGGCAATTTGTCTAGGCCAAGCTCATGCCTATAATCCCAGCGCTCTGGGAGCCCAAGGTGGGAGGATTGCTTGAAAGCCAGGAGTTTGAGACCAGCCTGGGTCACAAAGTGAGACCCTCTCCCATCTGTACAAAAAATTAAAAAATAAATTTAAAACATTAACTGGGCATGGTGGTGCACACCTGTAGTCCCAATTATTCAGGAGGCTGAGGCAGGAGGATCCCTTGAGACCAGGAGGTCAAAGCTGCAGCAAGCTGTGATTGTACCACTACACTCCAGCCTGGGCAACAGAATGAGACCCTGTGTCGAAAAACAATTTTTTAATAAAAAATAAAAGACAACTTTTCCTCAAATTGCCATTGAACAGATATAAATTTTGAAATGTGAAACATTCAAGGAACAAACTCCTCTGTTCCTTGAAGTTCCCTCAGAGGGAATAAAACATATTCAGAGATTTTAATAAGTTACTCAATTTTTCCTGAATTATTACGGGAGTGGAGGGAGATGAAAAGTTGGTTATAAAATCTATTTTCTCTCTATCTTAATTAATGTGTTCTCTTTTAATTGAAGCCAACGGTGATCTTTTAAGGGATCAGCAGTGCACCTAATATTCCTAGCATATTTGACAATCAGAGTGCATCATTTTTAACACCTCATTCATCTATACTCCAAAAAGCAATAGTCATGAAATAATTCACAATAATAATTATTTCATTTGTTCTTTATTTCAAAGCAATTTATTAAAATTAAAGAATAAATTTCAATTTAAAATATACTATTCAAATCCAATAAAATATTTCATGTATGAAATAAAATCTGCATTTACCAAACAAAAATATTATATGTCTCTCTTTTTTTTCACTCTTTTGGATTTTAAACACAAATAGAAACTCCAAGAGGCCACTTAGAATGACAGATTAAAGTAATTCAGGGGGTTGAGGAGCCATGACTCACGCCTGTAATCCCAGCACGTTGGCAAGCCGAGACAGACTGATCACCTGAGGTCAGGAGTTCAAGACCAGCCTGGCCAAACCCGTCTCTACAAAAAATTAGCCGGGAGTGGTAGTGCCTGTCATCCCAGCTACTCTGGAGGCTGAGGCAGGAGAATCGCTTGAACCAGGGAAGTGGAGGTTGCAGTGAGCCGATGTGGCACTGCTGCACTACAGCCTGGGTGACAAGAGTGAAACTTCATCTCTAAATAAATAAATAATTTATTTATTCTTTTTATTTATTTTTTCTTTCTTTCTATGACTATTAAAGGCCAATAAATACATAAATAAAGTAATTCAGACTGTTTCTTATCTTTGCAATCCCATACTGCCATTATTAATTCCAAGACTACTGTGAAACGCAAGAATATGCAGTGCCACAGCACTTGGAAAAAGCCTCCAAAAATGCTGCACCTTCATGAGCATCTTCTGTGAATGAATACACATAGAAGAGTCCACTGTATGACTGGCTGTATACCTGCAACTGTACCAGGTTAATTTCCAGCTAGGATGCAATGTTTATTAAAGGATAAGTAATTAGGTTGAACACAGTGCCTCATGCCTGTAATCCCAACATGTCACTTGAGGCAAGGAGTTCCAACCCAGCCTGGATAACATATCAAAACCCTATCTCTACAAAAAAAAAAAAAAAATTTAATTAGCCAGGTGTGGTGACTCAGACCTGTAGTCCCAGCTACTCGGGAGGTTGACATGGGAGGATCACTTGAACCCAGGAGTTTAAGGCTGTAGCCCAGCCTGGACCAGAGAGCAAGACCTTGTCTCTAAAAATAAATAAGTAAAAATAAAAATAAAGAATAAGAAATTAAAATGTGCTCATTTGAAGCTTATTCAACAGTAAACCCAGTTATCACAGCAACAGTTAAGAACTGGGGTTTTTAGGGAGGCGTATTTTATCAAGATTATTTAGGATTGCTAGCATATGATGATTTTTAAACACACAAATTTGTTGTGAGTTTGATTACTGCTTTTAAATTCACTATATCAGTGTATCTTCTTACTGCTTATGTCTAGGGCCAACCATCCCTACCACCATCTCCTTCCTGTTGTGATGGTACTTTGAGAATTGTTCTACATCTACAAATGTAACTTCTTTCATGACATGATGTGTATATTTTATGTCATGTCAGAAGCTGTATATGAGATATTAATGCTTGCTTTTTTTTTTTTTTTGGAAACATATTCTCACTTTGTTGCCCAGACTGGAGTGCAGTGATGTGATTATAATTTACTGCGGCCTCCAACTCCTGGGACCAAGGGATATCCTCCTGCCTCAGCCTCCCGAGTAACTGGAACTATAGGTATGAACTACCACATCTGGCTAAAATTTCATTTTTTTTTTAGAGATAGGGTCTCAACTATGCTTCTCAGGCTGGTCTCTGGTCTCAAACTCCTGCCTTAAGCAATCCTCCCAACTCAGCCTCCCAAAGTGCTGGGATTACAGGCATGAGCCATAGCACCCAGCCAGCTTATTTCTTGATACAAATAACCCCCAAGAAATGTTTTGGGGCCAAGCATGGTAGCTCTCACCTGTAATCCCAACACTTTGGGAAATTGAGCAGGGAGGATCACTTGAACCCAGGAGTTTGAGACCAGCCTTAGCAACATTGTAAGACCCTATCTCTACAAGAATATTAAAAATTAAAAAATTAGTTGGAACTGGGCATGGTGGCTCATGCCTGTAATCCTAGCACTTTGGGAGGCCAAGGCAGGAGGATCACCTGCGGTCAGGAGTTCGAGACCAGCCTGACCAACATGGTGAAAACCCATTCTACTAAAAATACAAAAATTAGCCGGGTGTGGTGGTGGGCACCTGTAACCCTAGCTACTTGGGAGGCTGAGGCAAAAGAATCACTTGAAACCTGGAGGTGGAGGATGCAGTAACCCAAGACTGCCTGGGTCGGGGGTCTTTTATGCACTCAGAATGGAAAGTGCATGCTGATTGGTTTGTGCATATACAAAAAAGGTTAAAGCAAAGACACCATGAAAAGATGGACACAACAGTATAGAAAACCAGCTAGGAAAGGGTAGGTATGTGTAAAATAGGTGAAGGGTAGGGTCAATCAGAGGAAAGCACATCAAACAGGAAGAAAAGTTGTCTATCCCAGTTTAACTTATAGCTTGGCTTTTGGGCTTCAAACTGTCTTCGGCTTGGAAGTGGGTTTTTGCCGGGACCCACTCCTCTCTGCTTAGGCATTTGGCTGCCTCCTGCCACTCTCAACTATCCCTCTGTATTTCTCCAGGGACCAATCCTGTTCTGAATGGACACATTCTTTCCCAAGGTATCTTAATACAACCCAGCTGTCTTCCTCGTGGTACAGTCAAAGGGTTCCCAAAGCAGGATGCTTAACATAATATCCTGAAAAATTTAAACTATGCAGATGCTCAGGCCCCACCCCAAATCTACTGATTAAAGGTCTCAGCAGGACAAGCCTGGGAATCTGAATTTGAAGATACCTACCTGTCTCCTTTTCCATCCAAAATTTTGATATTTGGACCAAAAGCCAAAGTTTGGAAATAGTGTATAAAAAGGCAGTGGAGGTTGGGTGTGGTGGCTCACGCCTGTAATCCCAGCACTTTGGGAGGCCGAGGCAGGTGCATCATGAGGTCAGGAGTTCAAGACCAGCTTGGGCAACATGTCGAAACCGTTTCTCCACTAACAATACAAAAATTAGCTGGGCTTGGTGGCACACTCCTGTAATTCCAGCTACTCGGGAGGCTGAGGCAGGAGAATTGCTTGAACCCAGGAGGTGGAGGTTGCAATGAGCCAAGATCACACCACTGTGCTCCAGCCTTGGTGACAGAGCAAGACTCTGTCTTGAAAACAAAACAAAATAAGACTCCAGTGGATCTCTTTAAGGGACCTTTTAAAGAAATGGGATAAAGCCCCTTTGCAACTCTCCCAGCTTCAGAACTATCTTGAACTTTTGTTAATATGTAGATGATTCACTATTTTCCAGACCCCTATCAGCAGGGCACCCAGAGGTCTCTGAAATACCGAAAATCTGAGAACCATTGTTTTCAGGTGGTATTTTCTAAGCTAGAGAAATGTGAAGAATTCCAGGATACTTGCTGAACATAAACATTTCACCTCCCCCACACTTTTTTAGGCCAACCCAAATAGAATCTTCAGAGAGAGGTCTGGAAACCTTCAAATTTAACAAGCCCTCCCAGGTGATTTTTATCGCTAGGCAGATTAGGTAGCACTGCTTGAAGCCAATAATTGCTCACATTTACTGAACACACCCCGTGTGCAGGACAGTGTTCTAAGTGCTTTTGTGTACACTTATTCATTTACTCTTAACAACCCCACCCACTACTGTCTCAGCTTCATCTCACAGAGTAACTGCTTTTTCCTCAACAATCCTTAAGGGATAAATGTTGCCATGTGATGCTCAGGGCCATCTCCTTTTACATATCCATAGTCCCTTAAATTATTACAGATTCTGAGCCTTTTTTACCTTGAGATTAAGCACTGACTTAGAGTTCTCTGCATTTTATAAAGCACACCACAAACCTCTTTGCACACATGGGGAGCTACATACATACTGTTTCTTCTAAGAAATCAAAGGGGCTGGGCATGGTGGCTCACATCTGTCATCCCAACAGGTTGGGAGGCTAAGAAGGGAGGATCGCTTGAGCTCAAGAGTTTGAGACAAGCCTGGGCAATATAGAAAGACCTCATCTCCAAATAAATAAATAAAATTTAGCCAGGCATGGTGGCATATGCCTGTAGTCCCAGCTACTCGGGAGGCTGAGGTGGGAGGATTGCTTGAGCCCAGGAGGTTGAGGCTGCAGTGAGCCATGATCATGCCACTGTATTCAAGCCTGTGCAACAGAATGAGATACTGTCTTAAAGAAAAAAAAGAAAGAAATCAAAGAGTCATTCTGCTTTTTGCCTGGTGCACTTGGCAGTGTAAAATTCTACCTTGATTTTGAAGATGTGGAGATAGAAGTTGGCGGCCAAACCTGCTACTGAATGCAGGGACCTTTTGAATTACGTTGGCTGAGAGTCAGAGTCCAGCAGAAATTGAACCAGGAAAAGGAAAACAGAAAGATTATATGGTTTGGCTGGCTCTGATCCTGGCTGGGGAAGAGGATTTCAGTTCACAAGAGAAAGGTAATAGATATTTTCAGTTTCCTATCACACTTGCTTATCCACGTTTTAATCAGCCTTCTGAGACTAATAGTTTCCAGTTTACTAAAAGCCCATACTCATCTTTCCCTTTCTAATGCCTTTATGCTCGCCTGGACTTTACAATTTGCACATTTTATACTCTTCTCATCTCTGACTATTCAATAACACAAAAGCTAACACTTCCAAGCTTTGTTTCATTCATTTTCACTCAATGGACACTCAGAACAAATGGGCATGCTAGCTATTTTCTTATCAGCAGTCATCCTAAATCCTTCAACATAGGGAAGCTCTTCCTTACTCTGTAATTCAAAATCACTCTATTGAAACTTAAAACACACATTAAGTATCTATAATAGTTCAGGTTTTTCTGCTGGATACTAACACCCTGGGGGAAAAAATGTACCAGTATCTCCATTTGTTTTTTCTCAAGATTCAGTGAGGTTAGCAATTTGCCTAAAGTCATTCATTTGGTTGGGGGAAAAAAAATGTGAAGCTATGTCTGACTTCAAAGTCTATGCTCTTTCCATCATATTGTAATACTCAATGTTCAAGCTCTTTCAC